GATCCCTCTCTGGTTATCACTCGGAGATTTCTGTGCGTTTTTAAGAGTTGGGATAATCAGCAGTGGAGATCAATCACATGAGTTTGACACTCAGCTCACAGACTCTGGTTAGTATTTCGGTAAACCTAAATGCTAAAACTGAACTACCATTCGTGGCCTACCATTTCCTGTTGTTTCCTTCGTGTCAAGTCAACTATTGGCTCTTCCAACTTCTCAAAGAGTCTCTGAACTTTTGTCTGTTCGCTTTTCAGGTTGTTTCATAATAGTGAGTGACCGGAGAGTAACTGGAGACCAGTAAAATTGCTCCTGATTTTCCCATCTCTTTTGTTTTCTTTCTCGATGATCATCATTGTGTAAACTTTTTATCATTCTACGTTTAAAATGTTTCCGATCCTCATCGTTTTCAAGATCTGTTTGCATGAGTTTCTTAGCACCTATCAAATCATTAAAAGTTTCTAAAATCCGTCGATATTTTCTAACCTTCTGGTTTAAGTTGTCGGTTGGTATTAATACTGTGTTTGTAGATGTTTCTTTATTATTACAGGCTACCTTTTCATCATCGGCTAAGTGGCTTATCTGCTTCTTCCTTGACCCTTTTGTGTTCTGACTGGGTTCTAAATGATCCTCATGTTGTGACTTTTCTGCATACAGAAAAATTCATGGAAATGCTTGCTTTCGCTAAAACACTAGTGGAGTCCAAGAAGTATGTCTCCAGAGTGACTGTCTCCTATTGGAACTTCTAAGGTGGCCGGAAGCGATATGGTGTGTTGATGTTGATATTCACTAAGTAAAACTGTGTCCGTCATGATTAAGGTTGATACCTCTTAGGGTTAAACGGCTTGTCTGAGGATAATTTTAACAGACACTCACTACTATCTGTTCTCTGAACTGGGACACCACATCAATTTAGCTATTGCTTAACTTGGATTATCCAATCTACTTGGGTTTTAAAATCATGTACTATAATAACTTCGTCTGAGCACTTGGGTTTTTGGAGGAAATCGAAGAGTTTCTTGTAAAGCTTGCGTTTCGCTCCACTGAACTTCAGTCGATGAAAGTGTACTCATAAATGGTAAAAAGACAACACAGTGTATCTCCGTCTCTGGATTTTTGATTAGTTAGGATTCAAGCGACTTTTGACAGGAATTTATTCTAAATGTACTTCTTATACCTTAGATTTAATGCTTAATTTCCTATAATCGCTTTACTGTTGTGTGGAGGCAAAATCACCCAAAATGCGTTTTATATGTTATTTGATTAGAGAAATATTTTATATACAATTCTGTAACAAAATGGTGCTAAATGCAATGATTATTTGTTGTAACCTGTTTAGTTTTTTCAGCAAATATCCATATGGTCAGTCATAATGTATCTTTATTTAAATGTTTTTCCTAGGCGTACTAACTTCTTTCAGTTACAAAATGATTTACTTCAGTTCGTTCAACGTCAAGGTCGTTTGGTTGTTGATTCAGCTTTATCATGTTTAGCGGTGCTCGTTAATCAAGTTTTAAAAGACCAAACTCAAGTTATATGTTGCTTCGCACAATTCTATGGTATGTATTTTACATAAATATCTTCTTTTCAGATAGTTGCTTTTTACTTCTGCACATCATTAGTGATAAGTAGGGCCTTAAATATTTTCTCAATCGATAAATATATCACTAGATGTTACTAGACTCTATACTATAATTAGAAGGTAATTTTTATTTCATTCATACAATATCATTTCATTCTTCTGTGGTAAAATATCTTCTGATTATTGGAATGGCTTGTGAATAAAACATACTTGTCGTTTTCACCTACTTTATACTTATCTCAAACTCAAACTGGTTGTAAGGTAGGATATATATAATTCCTGTTTAGTTAGTATTATGGTGTTATCGGTCAAACTATACATGCAAAATAGTTATCGAATTGTTGAGCACTTCGGAAAATCGTATGTAATATGGTTTCCTTCATTGCTCTTCATTTAAAAGATAGTGGATATACACCATATCTAACTAATCGGGACTACTTGTACTATCTCTTGTTGCAGGAAGTCTGTAATCAGTATGGCTATATGGCCATTACATTGGTTTACTACTTTCGTACTAAACCACATTTCATTCTTTTGAATCATTCGCAGACTTGATATGCTGCGTATTTAAACGTTTGAGTTTATTTTTCATTTTTTTACTTCAAGGAGTCAATTTCCATTTGTATTTCTCAGTAGTTTCCCACCTGTATGTAATATGATTAAATCATAATTGTTGAGTCGGCTTCCAGAGAACTCCAACAGAGCCTCCAGAGGCTCATAAAGAGCCCCAGCCAATCAGAATACGATGGAACGTTCTAGAGTTCCAACGTGGCGTGATACTATTGGTCGGTATCATAATGTGTCGTTAATGGGTTGGCTAACATCTATAAATACCTATGATTTTCTGTAACAAGATTGAAACCTTGCAGTAAAGTGTTGTTCTCTCATACTCGAGTCTACTTACTGGTGTTCAAGTCGCTGAGTAGAGCTAGCCTTGGGGTTATTGAAATAGCTTAGGATTCGAATAAGCGTTCGACCTACAGATGTATCAGTGGCGACGGGAAAATGACAATGAATATTTTTCTGGAGCAATTAGAAGCCTATATGGTGCGTCAAGAAAAGAGGTTTGAAGAGTCCCAAATTAGAATCATGGAAACCCTGATGCAGAAATTTTGCCTGTCCGAGAGAAACCCTGCTTCTAGTGAATCACAAGTATCAAATACCATCATCTCCATGCTGGGCACGTGGAGGCTGGCACTATAAGAGGTTTTGCCGTATAAAGAACATTGTTGCAGTAAGTGTCATCGAAAGGGCCATATAGAAACCAGTTGCAGAAAAAGGAACTATAAACGACATTTTGCAAAACCTTACTTCAAGAAATACAGGTCTGGGGCATTAACGAAAAGAATTTTGGTATCACATAACAAAGTTCGAAGTTGCCGCCAGAGAAAGTACGTAACCTTGAATATTAATAAACACCGCACTCGACTTCAGCTTGATACGGCTTCTGATATTACTTTAATAAGCCCAGAAACTTGGAAGAAGATTGGGCGACCCACGGTGCATCGAACTACACAAATAGCATACAGTGCATCAGGTGGAAAGTTAAATATTGTTGGAGGGATACCTTGCATTGCGTCTAAAGGTGCGGTAACAACAAGTGCAACAGTATATCTTACAAAGAAGCCAGCACTCGACTTAATGGGGTTAGATCTTATAGAAACACTTGACCTAGCAGACCACTCTATTAACAATATCTGCAAGCGAATCACAACTTACAACACCTCAGAGTGGAGTCAGAAAAATGCCATGCTACAAAAACACCAAGACGTGTTTAAAGAAGGATTAGGCGAATGCACGAAGGCTAAAGCAGTGCTAACTGTAAAGCCTGCAGCTACTCCCATTTTTCGACCTAAAATACCTGTGCCCTATGCTGCTCTTCCAATAGTCGAACAGGAATTACAACGACTTCAGCAAATGGGTATTATTGAGCCTGTGAACTTCTCGAACTGGGTTGCACCGATAGTGGTGGTCAAGATGTCGAATAGAAGTATCCGTCTATGTGCAGACTACTCCACAGGATTAAATGAAGCTCTAGAGTCCCACCAGTATCCGTTGCTCTTATTTATTTATTTAAACACATAAATATTGGTACAAGGAAGCACCAGATAAATACGCGCCTCACAAATCTCATTCGATTTGTGTGAGGGCTGTGATACTGCCCAGGTGCCCAGACTGAAGCAGGTGGTTTTCTTAGGGGGGCCACACCCTGAGCCTTCGACCTGAATGTCTGATCCACAAGACAGTGGAGCATCGTGAGGAGATGCAGTCCCATGGTAGCCGGTGATCAACGGTTGATTCGTCCACCATTCGTTCCCTCAGGATACTGGAGCCCATGTGCACCACTGGTTTGGAATCAGGGTTTTCCAACTCCCCTAGGTGGACCCTCTATGTCCACCAACCCGTTTAAAGCGCCGGACATTCGCTTTTCGTCCTCTCACTTTCGTAAACAACACCCCCGCCACGAGAAGGCAGTGAGTAGGACTTCCCTGGCAGAGGCTATATATTCGCTGGCCATATGAGAGCATTTCGAGAGGGAGAAGTGACTCTCCCCACTCTCGACCGTACCAGGGCATTTGGGGGCTCTTACCAGAAGATCTTTTCGCTAAGCTGAACGGTGGCAGATATTTTGCGAAATTGGACTTATCAGACGCATATCTACAAATCCCGGTATCTGATGAAAGCAAAGATCTTTTAACGATCAACGCACACAAAGGTCTGTTCCGGTATAACCGACTACCTTTTGGGGTGAAGACAGCGCCTTCTATTTTTCAGAAAATTATGGATACCATGTTACAAGGTATTCCAGGGGCAGCAGCTTACTTAGACGACATCATTATTATGGCAGTAGATAAAATGGACCAGCAGAAGAAACTGGACGAGGTACTAGAACGCATAGCCGATTATGGTTTTCGCCTCTGAGTGGAAAAGTGTGACTTCTATATGCAGCAAGTACGGTACCTTGGGTTCATAATAGATAAAGACGAAAGACGACCAGATCCAGAGAACATTGAAGCAGTGAAAACAATGCCTAGACCAAGGGACATTACCACCCTACGATCATTCTTGAGATTGGTCAGCCATTATGGTACCTTCCTCCCCGATCTCCATCGTCTACGTTCTCCACTAAACAACCTACTACAAAAGAATACGAGATGAAATTGGTCTGCAGACTGCCAAGCGTTTTTCAAGAAAATCAAGCAACTCCTGACATCCAATCTCTTATTGACACGCTATGATTCTACGCTACCGATAGTCGTCGCTTCAAATGCTTCTAACTATGGTGTGGGGACAGTTATCTCTCACATTTTTCCTGATGGGTCTGAAAAAGGTATCTCACATGCTGCCAGATCTTTGACAACGACCGAAAGGAACTATAGTCAGATTGAAAAAGAAGCCCTATCAATTATTTTTGCGGTGAAGAAGTTCCATAAGATGATATATGGCAGATATTTTTCTCTAATAACAGACCATAAACCACTACTTGCAGCTTTTGGGTCAAAGAAAGGTATTCCGGTCCACACAACTAACCGACTACAACGATGGCCAACCACACTTCTGGCGTACAACTTCAAGATAAAGTATCAGTCTACTACTGCCTTCGGACAAGCTGACGCATTGTCAAGATTAATAGGCTCCCAATTAAAAACCCCAGAGGAGACTCTTGTAGCAAATATAAAAGCCGAAGTAGAAGTTCATCGGGCATTGGATGACGCAATCAATGGACTCCCAGTAACCTTCGAAACTATCAAGAAGATCACTGAAAGTGATGAGGTACTGAACACAGTCAAATGCTATCTGTCGACCAAATGGCCAAACAATCGCCTTGACGGAGAACTTTTGCAATATTTTCGTCGACGGGACTCACTAATGGTTGTTGACTCGTGTATTATGTTTGGCGATCGAATTGTTATTCCGAAGTTATTACGTCACAAGGTTCTCAAGCAGTTTCGCAGTGCCCATCCTGGAATCAATAAAATGAAGTCGAATAAATGCCATAACTGTCCATCATGCATTCAAGCCGCTAAAAATCCTGTGAAATGCGAACCTCAGTACTGGCCTACGCCTGCAGGACCCTGGGAAAGAATTCATGCAAATTTTGCTGGTCCAATCCAAGGAAAACTGTTTCTAATTATCGTGGATGCATTTACTAAATGGTCGGAAGTATATACCATGCTAAATTGTACAACCTCAGAAACAATCCACAAGCTGTCTACCCTGTTTAGCTGTTTTGGAGCACCAGAGACCTTAGTAACAGATAACGGCTCGCAATTCGCCGCAGAATCGTTTAAGCATTTCTGTAAAGCAAACGGAATAACTCATTTTCGTTCTCCACCCTATCATCCACAATCTAACGGACAAGCAGAACGCTTTGTGGACACCTTTAAATGAGCATTACTGAAGGGGGGAGGCGAAGGGCCAACTGGGCAGGTGATCACCAAATTTCTAACATCCTATAGATCAACTCCGAATCCGAATGTTCCGGACGGCAAGTCTCCTGCGGAAGTCATGTTCGGAAGGCGTGTTCGAACCGTCTTCAATGCCATGTTGCCATCCAAATTAGTTGATGAGCGCAGTCACAATCCAAGAATCCGGAACTTCAATGTCGGCGACAAAGTTTACATTAAATCCTACATCGGGAAGAACCGATGGGAGCCGGGAGAAGTTGTACAAAAATTGGGAAGAGTTCTGTACAGTGTTCGAGGAACTTTTGGGACATGTATACGACACACAAATCAAATCCTTAAAGACAAAAGAACGATGCAGAATCGAAGCAACCGGCCGATTTTTCCGTTAGATTTAATCTTAGATGCACTAATGCCCAAAAACACTGAAAAGAAGCCGTGGACAAGGAATACGACGAGAATAATGGGACGACGTCGCAACCCACTTGTCAAACTACAAGTTGACCCTAGAAAGAAATCTTATTCGTGGGAGGTGTTGAGTCGGCTTCCAGAGAACTCCAACAGAGCCTCCAGAGGCTCATAAAGAGCCCCAGCCAATCAGAATACGATGGAACGTTCTAGAGTTCCAACGTGGCGTGATACTATTGGTCGGTATCATAATATGTCGTTAATGGGTTGGCTAACATCTATAAATACCTATGATTTTCTGTAACAAGATTGAAACCTTGCAGTAAAGTGTTTCTCTCATACTCGTGTTTTCTTACTGGTGTTCAAGTTGCTGATTAGTGCTAGCCTTGGGGTTATCGAAATAGCTTAGGATCCGAATAAGCGTTCAACTTACAAGACATATCAATAATAACTACAAATAGACATACAGTAGGATAATAAACATTCATTTTTATCGAGTTTTACTACTTTCTCCTTCGATTCGCAGTCTGAATTTGAAGAATTTTCAATTATCACCCCATCAAATCATGCATCTATTTTCAATGATTATTTATTTATTTATTTTTAGGACTCCTTACAGACCTTTCATTAGAATTACGAGAAGCTCTTTCAACTAAGATAAGTACTTCTGCTCGAATATCATCCAAGACTCGACCATCAATATTGCGGGCATTGTACACTGTCGGTTTGATATGTAAATACTTCACACTGGACTATTCATTTAACAGAAATAAGAAATCGGTGAGGGTTCGTTGTTTTGTCTGAATCATTCTAAAAGTTGTTTGACCGTCATGTTTTATTAACTATTCTTTTATATTTTTTTATTTTCATTATGAAGGGTATGTCTAATTCAAACCTACTGGATGAAGTTGTGGATATACTTATGCTGTTTGCGGAATATGCATCCGTTCGTATACATGTACAAAGCAGCACCACATTTTCCAATGCCAGTAGCTCTATGAACGATCTCAACAATGAGAGTGTTAATTCGTCTCATATGAAGTCTGATATGATTGATCCAGATTTATGTCGTAAAGCAATTACTGGTTTGGGATTTTTATTATTTCGTCATGATCAACTTTTCTGTACTGGTTCTGTGCAGCTGTTTTTAACTCGATTTCTTTCAACTGTTCAAAATTCTTTAACTAATAATCATTCAAATGATGGATCCTCATTTTTTGAGATTCAGTGTATTATACTTGACAATTTAACACATTATTTATTGCAGAAGGAGCGTAAAGCAACTGCAGATAATCGCTTGTGTACGTTGTTGCTGTTGATAGCATTTAAAAATTATTAATATAATAACTCTCTTTTAACTGATATTTGTTAAACTCGTGCTGTCTAGATTTAATTCGAACATTCTTTTTACGAGTGACCTCAAGTTACTTTAGGAATACAGTGTTTTAAACTGTTACCCGTGCGACTCTCGTCATAAATAGATTTCATAACTATTTTGCTACAAAGACCACGATTTCATTTTTTAGACTTTCTCTCTTCTCACTTAAGGATTTGAAGACTCCTGATCCTTCAGTAATTAATACTCTCTTTTATTTTATCTATTTTCTATATGCCTTTTTTCGTCTGAAAATTATTTTTGCTGTGATTATATGAACCATATTTCTTCTTAAAATCTTCAAGATAATATAAAACTTCAAGTTAATTTTAAAATTCATCATTACAGTTTAAGTTACCTAATAAAGATATATATTATGATTATTGCTATATAAGACTATTATATGAAATGAAATCCAGAGTGTACGTCTCATCCTATTTTCTTCTAGTCAGTTTGGTGTTCCTCCATCCCAGCTTTCTAATCCAACATCTGTCGCTTCAAACAGCAACACATCTACTTATCTATTACGTCATAGTATTTACTAACTTCTCAAGGGTTATGATATATACTTTCATGTTGTTATTCAGGTCTGCATTTAATATTTCTCTATTACTAAATGGACTCTTCGAAGAGGTACCTCTACCTTTATCTGTAGCCGCAAGTTGATTATTTTTTAAATAGTGGTTAGTGAGCAGTACATCCTTCTTATGAGACCTCACTGTAATAAATAAAAAAATACCACAAACACAGGTATATTTGTTCACTCTTCTGGTTTTTACATTCTTTATGTGTGTATCTTAGTGTTCACATTTCTGCTTATGACATTTTAAGCTTTGTAGGAAGTATACTAATTACCCCTTCCTTATGTTCCTATTTCCTTACTCAATGATTGACATTTTGATGCCAATTAGTCGTATAAGTATCTTGGAGTAAGTTTGGTTATGAATTCGATCTATGAGATCAACAGTTATTAACGTTAGTTTGTTTCCCACTTTTTATCCAGGGGCTACACGTTCCAAGCGTGAATCTCTCAAAGAACTAACTGATCAAGTAACTGGTCACAGCAGTGCAGTTGCCCAAACCTATTTGCCTATAGTTTTGAAATATTGTATTCTCACCCCGTCTACTAGTGTTCGCTCTTCAGCCTTAAGCCTAATATCAACTATATTACGTCAAGGATTAATTCATCCATCTCACGTTTTATCTTCCCTAATTTGTTTGCAAACTGATTCAGACCCAAGTATTCGTTCTCGTGCTTCAGTTTGTCTTACAGAAGTAGAGCGAAAAATTCCCGGATTTGCTGCAGTAAGTTTATTTTAAATTATTATTTTTATTATTATGCTTGATGTTTACCGTTTTAAAATCAATTGAAATGTTGATTGCTTACATACCACCAGTTCACTTGCAATAATAATGCAAAGTTCTAGAATATATATTAGATGTATATTAGATTTTATTTCCCGGTTCCATACCTACATTTAACGTAGGAAGCCTAAGTAAACTTCTTACTTTATGTTGCTTTTATGAAGAGTATTCAATAGGATAACGTAAAAAATAGTTGACATCTATGAACTATTTTTTTTAAGATTTGTATGAAATAACTTACTGGATATAGACAAATGTTGGTTTAGAAGCTACTTCAAGGATTGTTTATCTTACTTGCTGTTATCAGGACCATGAATTTTTGAAAATTACAACTACTCACTATACGAACATAATCAATGGTTTATCACTGAAGTACTTGTTGTCTAAAGTTTACTTTCGTGGCTAATAGAAAAATTTGTAAGTAATTCCTTCATCATTAATTGTCCCTACTACTAATTGTGTCATTGTTATCATGCATATTAGGTAAACAAAGACTGAACTGAAATAATAGTGGATTTTAAGTCATTTGATCAAAGCTCCGTTAATTTAGTTTTGCATACGCAATCCATGGCTTCTTCGGATATTTATGTTGTAAAATTTCCACATGTTAACGTAAATGTCTTTATCAGTATTTAGGAAATATAGTAGGTTAGCTTAATTCCGGTCTATATTTTGTCACTGGATTTAAATTTATGAGTCTCTAAGGGTCTATTTTGTGCCAAGTACTTTTTTTAGAATAAATAAGTTTCCCAAATATTTAACAAGATTTAAAAGACCAATTTGTCATTGTTTTTGATAATAAACTTCAGGCTACTTACAATTCAGAAGAGATTTATGCATTACCCTTGACTTTTTTCATAGATGCGAGCTGTATCTGGAATTCGTATGTCGCATCAGTTGCAAGTAATTATACACACAAATGAGTTTTCTTCACTCATAGTTCGTGGAGCTAAAGATTCTAAAATCGCTTCTGAAAGTAAATCACTTTCACCGACAAATAATTCTACGTCTACAGTATTTTGTATAAACTATGGATTGTACACCATGTTGAGAACTAATCGACAATATCGTCGATCGTTAATTGTTAACTTGTTATCTATATTTGATGAATACCAGGTAAGATAATTAAGATCTCAACATTTTTGTTTGCTGTGCACTTCTTACTGCACTTAACTATATGACATAGTCTCCAGTGTTATGTTTCAAGGCATTTCCCGCTCGAAGAAATTGCCTTATAGTAAAAATATCTCAATTTTTTGATATTTTCATTTAGATCCGATGAACTGATGTTATGAATAAGAATGACATTATTTAATGGAGGCATAAATTTATTGTCTTTTTATAATTGTTGACGTCAGGTATAGTTATTACCATAAGCTTTAAAACTTCCCTATCACTGCAATCAGCATGATTTTTCATAAATATAAGGGTTTATGTTGCGAAGGTTTGTATAATTTTAAGCACTTTCAAACTTAATATAGTAATTTGAAGGATATTCTTTAATTTTACGACGCCCAATACAACAATACTTCAGCTGCTTTTAACACATATGCGATAAAAAGATGAAGACTGGTATTATACAAGCGAAGTTTTGGTGTTTCTAAAAGTAGTACTATTAGTGCGCGTTCCCGAACACATCCTTAACATTGTAAGACTTTCATTAACATAGGTCTGTAAACTGCCTTTTATATATATATATATATATATATATATATATATATCGATTCGCGTACTAAATAAATAAAACAAGATTGAAGGAACCTACTATTCGGCGCATAAATACTGCTGTTTACTTTATATTTCTATATCCCTTCTGTCTTATTAATTTACAGAAATCATCACTTCACACCACTGAAAATGAGAATATTCAAAATCGTTTAAGTCAGTTGATTTTCATTGCAGATCACTTGGCACACTTTCCATATGTTGTTCTTGATGAAGTTTACTACGTTGCTGACCTAATAGAACAAAGAATAAGCCTTATAGGATCTACTATCTTGCGATCCTTATACCGAAGCTTGTTATCTACTGCTCAAAACAAATGCTCATATCCAGAAATCTGTGAGTTATCTGGGTCTTCAGTGAACAGTGATCGAAAATTCACTAGTGAAACTGACCTCATGGATTTTCTTGATAAGTGTGAAGCAAATCTACCTAGAGAATATGACTTCAACACTTCTTATAAATATATGGAAACAATGAAAGCTCTTGATAATCAAATTTCATTTAGTTCATCTGAGAAAGACCTTCAAAACATGTTTAAACACTGTCAGTCTGATACTTTAAAAGGAAAGACACGATCATCTATGGTATATGCAGGACCATCTTGTCTGCTCCTTATGACTATCAGAAAGTTTATACGTGAATACTATGGTGTAACTTACAGGTAACTTTCATTTTCATATATGCTGCAT